CCCCCCCCCCCCCACACACACACACACAAATAAATGTAGTCTGGATAACACACCACCTTCAGACACGTCCCGGTTGGATCTATGAGACAAAGACTGAGTTGCTTGTTGATAGTCTTTGGGAGTTGAGCAACAGGTTGAAGTGGGTCCCGTTAGTATGTTTGTTTTGGTCCACATGCTGCCCTCTGCTGGTTAAATAAAGCAATGCAGTTGGACCAGGAAACGTGTCCCAAATTAGGTTTGTCCCGATCCGATATCTGGATTGGATCGGCCGCAGATATTTGCAAAAAAAATGCATATCGGCCGGCAGGTGAAAATACAGATCCAGACTCCAGATCCAGAAAATCTGGATCTGTTCTCCAGCACACCGATTAAAAATAATCCATTCCAATTTGCTGTGTTGTTCCTTAATATCCGTTCTGGTCATCTTCCAGCACAGCCTTAAGCATTAGCATTAGCATCTGTAACCACAGGTCTGTGTCCTAACCATTAAGTTGTTATCAGAGTAAATCCCTGTTCAACATGAGTCTGACAACTAAGTAAGTAGATAAATAACTTTAAACTTTAATACATGCTCTGATAGGCCGGGATCGGATCGGAAGTACAAAAAGTTGGATGGGGACTCCTCATCCCAAATGGTTACATATTTGTAGCTGGCTAAGCGTTTTTTCATTTTTGCGGGAAAAAAAGGAAAACCAAAAAAAAAGGAAACGTTTGACCTTTCTTTTGTTTTAGACAATGTTTCTTTAATTGAAACACACATACCATGTTTTCTTTTCTAAACGTGAACATGACAACTTGAAAGAGTTTCTCTTATGTTTTCAAACCATCTCCATAATACTGGATAAAAAAGTCATGCATTTCCTTCATATGAACGTTTGGAAATGGGAGATAATTGCTGCAGTCCACACAAACTGCATAATACAACAATAATTCAGCCTCACTATGCCCAGCAGATGTTTCCTTATCCTCCAAAAATCGTTGAGTGATTAGCTGATTCATAATCTGATTCAATGTGATTTCAATCTTTTAGCTTATGCTTCACTTAAAGGAGATTTTTATTTCAAAATTCAACATAATTCTGTCCAGAGGAGTGCTAACTACCAGAGCCTTTCACTATCCAGTGTCCTACTAACTTTGATAGCTGGAAGAGACTCAGGAAGTTGGAATTTATGTGGACTTTTATATGTGAATCATCTTTCTTCTATTTTGTTTTTCTGCACTTTGACCTACGGATGGTTTTCGTACACAAATTCTTTTCTTACTACCACTAAGTATTTATAGCTAGTGTACATGTCTCTGTTAGGGTGGACAAAGAGGTGTCGGCAGACTCCAAAGAAGCTAAAAGCTACCTGAAGAGCCTGACAGCAGAGAGGGAGGAGGATGAAAACGAGGATAAGGACTCACCAGACAGCCAATCACCTCTGCCTGGTCCAAGGTAACCGATGGACAAGACTCAGACCCACAAAACTGACCGTAAACACAACCCAAAACATCAGAATTATAACCACAAAGGCTGGAAAATACACTGAGAGGATCTAAAAAAGAACCCAGATCCTTTTCATTCTATGACAAGCAAACAAAGGCATTTCTAACAGCTAGTTTCTTTTTAAAAGGTTTTTTCCTACATAAATTGGATATATCTATCAAACCTTTGACTGCATTTTTTTAATATACACAGTACTTGTACTTTTACTTATACTTGTACTTTCGATACTTGAGTAGCGATTTTTTAAATAATTCTACTTGCAAAACTTAAGTACAAAAAAAATTAGTACTTGAGTACATTTTCATGCTATGACAAGCAAAAAAGGGCATTTCTAACATGGTGAAGCTAGTTTCTTTTTAAGAGGTTTTCTCTTATGTAAATTGGATATATATATCAAACCTTTGACTGCCTTTTTTTAATATACACAATACTTGTACTTTTACTTATACTTGTACTTTCGATACTTGAGTAGCAATTTTTGAAACACTTGCAAAACTTAAGTACAAAAAAAATTGAGTACTTGAGTACATTTTCATGCTATGACAAGCAAACAAGGGCATTTCTAACATGGTGAAGCTAGTTTATTTTTAAAGGTTTTCTCTTATATGAATTGGTTCAGGGAGGTGAGTCAGATCCCCACATTTTGTTCTCAACTTTATTTTCTTTCAGGTAATATATTCGCTCTAAACCTTTAGCTTCTTTAATTTGTTTGTTTGTTAGAATGATCACTAACTTTTAGTACAGTAAAATCTGTTATTGCTCACCTTATTCTCTTCATACCAGCTGCAGTGTGTCTGTATTTTAAACTGGAAACTCAGCTCACTTTTATGGTGATGCTTTTTCATTCATTTGAACCAGAGATAACACAAAGCTGAATAAATATAAAGTATTTATAAAGTATTTACAGAGGCCTCCACTTCCCACAAACCACCACCTGCAGCTCAGGACTTTACGACTAATGTATTACGCGCGCCCCTTTTTTTTTTTTTTTTGTTCCCCACCACCACTCGTTTCCATGGCAACGGATTATGCGGGAGTATTCGCGTTTCCTTCCCAGAGAAGAAACTTCAGACAGGAGACAGGAAATGGTCTCACAACAGACCGGAAACACACCACGTCCACAAGCCATTTCCTATTTATCTCTCTGTGTGTGTCTTTTTGTGTGTGTTTGTGTGTTTGTGTGTGTGTGTGTGTGTGTGTGTGTGTCTTTGTGTGTTTGTGTGTGTGTGTCTGTGTGTGTGTGTGTGTATGAGTGTAAAGAGGGACACACAGGGCAGGAAACAGCCTTCAGCACAGCTCCCTCATTAATCGTGGCTGAAATTTGGATCAGAGTTTTTGTTGTTGCCGTCCTGTGCTGAAGTGTGTGTATATGTGTGTGTGTGAGAGATTGTGTGTTTCTGTGTGTGTGGGTAATGAATCAGCCACAATCTTTAGCTTTCATTTTTAGTTCAGTGTTTGTGTATTCTTTAGTGTATTTATCAGTCCAACCTCAAAGAAATATTTATTTTCAAATCTTAAGTACATTTACTTCTCAATCACTTAAAATGTCAGAAAAAAGTAGGATTGAGCCCTCGGTTCTCACTTTTTTGTGATTGAATTCTTCTGCAAAATCTGGTGTAGTGTAGTGTTGTGTGTCTGTGTGTGTCTGTGTGTGTCTGTGCTACCACATGAAGGGAGGCTCCATGTTAGCGTGTATTAGATGTTGTCACTCCTGTGTTTGTCACCTCATCTTCTGTTCCTTCCAGCTCTCATAGTTTTTTTGTTTTAAGTATTTATTTGGCCTTTTAACAAAATATGTCTAAAGAAAAAACTAAAATAGATTTTTAATGTTAACAATTTATTACTATGCGATAAGTCAACATTATGTTTTGTGTAGTCTTCTGCTCCCTGTTATCAGGTGTATCTGATTGTGTACAATAGGATTTTGAGCAAAGTTTTTACCATTAAATTATGCAAAAGGTGTCAGACACAAAACATTTCAGAAACCGTACGTATCAAATATGATACATTTGGCATTATAGGGTTAAAGTCGTGTAAATGTTAAGAGCTGGTTTCATTGGGAGGAAAGCTAAAGACAGACATGAGTCCGGCCAGCCTGTTATGAATTTTCTTTTACTCATTTAACTTAAATGCACTGTACTCGTTTAACCTAAATACACTTGGAATTTTTGTCCTTTGGTTAGGCCGTGTTGTAGGAATGGAGCCGTAGTCTGAAAGTTCCCCGGGGAGGTTCCCACGGCCGGGAGGAATTTGTGGAAGGCCTAACTGTCTGTTTAAAGGGTTCACAGTAATTAAAAGCCCTCTGTGTGTAAGTCGTGCTACGGTAAATGACAAGCTCCATCTCTAGTGGTCCACCGTGAAATGTCAGGCTTTCACCGAATGATTAAGGTGGTGAGTAGGATCTAATTCTCCTCATTCACCCCAGTGGGGCAGAAATACCCCTTTTTTTTGGGTAAGGTTTTATTGTTTTTGTTTTCGATCTTTATTAGGACCATCTAAGATCATCTAAGAACATGATTGACTTTTGTAATAGTCTCTGAATGCGTAGTGATCTCGTTTTTACCAGCATTTATCAAAATATCAAATAGATATTCATCAGTTTTCCCGACCTGTAAATCAAAATTTTTCTTTAAAATAATGTTGGAAACTGCATCGGTAGATTAGTGTTAAATAGACTTAGACTTAGATTTGGACTTAGACTTCCTTTATTGTCATTGCACAAAAAAAAAGGTGAATCTTGACAACAAAATGTCGTTACTAGACACTTAATACTTTATGGAGCTCTTTTCCAGAAGGGTTTAACCACTGGGCATTCCCTAAAGATATGCCAGAGATTGGTTTCCCAGCTTCCCCTCCAGTAAAATGTGTCTTTTTGTTTTGGTGTAATAAAGAAACAGATCATACACTTCCAACCAAATCATGACTGAGAGAGGTGAGTCTCTTTCTGGCTCCACAACAGTGTTTACTCTTTAGAACATTTGGAAATAGAGATGTTTTTTTATTATCTACTCTTTCTGACGGCTAAACTAGTCAAATGTCAATAGTGTTTACTCTTTAGAACATTTGGAAATAGAGATTTTGTTTTTATTAGCTGCTCTTTCTGACGGCTAAGCTAATCAAATGGAGACAGCTCTGAATCCTGGAGGGATAAGGATGGTCCCTAGAGGAGAGCAGGTTGGTTGTTGATCTCGTGTCCTCCCCAATAACCGACTTTAGCCCATGCCACTCTCCATTTTTGGCTGTTTTGAAGAGCTCCAGCCTTTGTCTGCTCGCATTAAAGCAGGGATGTCAAAGTCAAACACACCGAGGGCCGAAAAAAACAAATTTGCTACAAGCCGAGGGCCGGACTGGTTCAACGTTTATTAAAACATATCGAAACGATTGCACATAGCCTATTGAACCAAGACCTAACGCAGTGTATTCACACATATTCACAACGATTAAACGAATATGTCAATATTTTATTATGGCTCTGTCGGTAACTTCAAGGGAAAACATTTTCAACTGCCAAACAGCAAAAAATTTAATTGTTTTTAAAAACAAAATGTGTTTCTTGATATCGGGATAAATGCATAAATAAAAGTGCATGCATTATAAACTAAAAAAAGTATTGTGCAAAAAGTTGATCTAAGAGTTACAATTTTAGCACCCACTCGGCCGTGTTTCTAGGGAAACTTACAGCTCCCGATTGGCCGAGGAGTCACATGATTCGATAGTGAGTCCTTCAGGAGAAACTCAGCTATTTAACTCATTGACTGCCAAAGACATCTATAGACGTCTTTTATGTTTTTCAACGAGAGTGGCTGGGGGACGATCTGCTAAAGCTTGTCCGTAAATATCGGCTTCTAGACAGAGTATGTAGTAACAAACTGACCCTCTAGGGGGCAGTGCCACTTTTGATGGGAGATGAGCATAGACTGTAGGTAAATAAAAAAAAGCTAACGGTTCGCTATGAGAGAACATGTCGCCGCTGAGACGCACGTCCAGGAAGAACGGAATAAGGTAGAAACAAATTTTTTTCCTGATGAAAGAAGAGAGTCTACTCTTTCTTTTGGTGTGTTCGGTGTTTACATAGTCATAGCACAAACTATTCTGTGGCTCTTGAAAAATCAGTCAAAATGCTCAAAAAAACTCTGACAGTATGGGACTCTCTGTTCTGAAAATGGCTAGCAGTCAATGAGTTAAAAAAAGCGACAAAAAAAAAAAAAAAAACTGACAGAATTATCACATTTTTGTGCTCATCCAGACTGGTAATGTCACATGACCAGCACCCTGATCCAACATGAGGCTCAGCATTTACATAAAACCCCATAAAAATGGCCTTTCAGGGGTTTTTTCTCCCTCAGAGCCTCGTCTTTAACAGAAAAAAACCTAAACTAAAGTCTCCCCCTTCTGTCGTTTCAGCGCCAAGCGTCCGGTGGGAATGTCGAGCATCCTGAATCGCATCGGAGGAAAGAAACAGAAGATGAGCACGCTGGAGAAGTCGAAGATGGACTGGGACGCCTTTAAGTCGGAGGAGGGAATCACGGAGGAGCTGGCCATCCACAACAGAGGCAGAGAGGGGTGAGAAACTCCAAATGTGACCAAATGATGGAAAACAAGACTCCGGAAAACAGAATTTAATCCAAATCTCAATCCCAAAACATTTCCTGTCCAATTTAGAACGGATTATTGGACTAATATATATATATATATAATACTTTATATATTATAACTCTGACCAAACCATGGTTCTTCTGACATGTCAGGGTTAAAAAAAGAAAGTGTCCATAATACAAAATGTGTTAGTTATACACAAAAGGTGTAATAGATTATTAATGACAAACATTTATTTTTGTTTTTTCTTTTGACATATTTTTTTAAAAGGCCTAATGAAGGCTAATGAAGTAATTTTCTGTTTTGTTTTATTCTTGGATCGGGCTTTAATTGGTTAAGTACAAAAAAAAGGAGTTCTTCCGTACTTCCACTTAAGTCTGGTGTTGAAAGAACACTTCAACTTTTACTCAAGTAAATTTGTTTACATAGTACTTATAGTACTTCTACTCCAGTACTTTTTAAAACTCTGTTCAGATCTGATTTTCTCCTTTTTTCTGTGTTTAGGTACGTGGAGCGGAAAAACTTCTTGGAGCGCGTGGACCACCGTCAGTTTGAGCTCGAAAAAGCAGTGCGACTGAGCAACATGAAACAATGACACACACACACACACACACACACACACACACACACACACACACA